TTAACCCCCCAATACTAAACCCCTCCCCAATATTAACCCCCTCACATTCACTTACCCGATCGGTCTTCTCCGTCTGGGGGGACTGTCTGATAGCCCAGACAGTCCTCGTCTGCAAATTAGTACCCCGAAGGGCCATGTGAAATATAAAATATATATAAAAATACACTTAGAGTAAAATTACACACATATATATATATATACACATATATATATATATATTTTAGCTATATTGTGTATATATATATATAAATATTATTAAAAAAACTAAATAATAATTAATTAAAAATAAATTTAAAAAATTTAAAAAATACATGTAAATTTTTTTTTAGAATGTTTGTCTATTCATTATAATTTGTTGTAAAAATTTTTTTTAAAAACTTAAATAAAAAATTCTTTGAAAAAAATAAAAAAATTGGTATATATATATATATAAATGTAATTTTATTCTAACTGTATTTTAAAATTAATATATATATATATATTCATATCAAAATACACTTAGAATGAAATTATATATATATGTCTGCAGGGGCGTTTTACCCGCGAGGCAAACAAGGCATTTGCCTTGGGCGGCATTTTTCAGGGGGCGGCAAAAAAAGCCGCCCCCCAAATGCCCAAGGCAAATGTCATGTTAGCCTCGCGGCTAACAGACATGCTGGGCGCTATTGGCGTGCGGGCGGCTGACGAGGGAGCCTTTCCTGTGAGCTGACTGCTCAGCTCCCTCGCGCGCCGCAGAGTGAGGCTGGGAGCCGGGATATGACGTCATATCCCGGCTCCCAGCCTCACTCTGCGGCGCGCGAGGGAGCTGAGCAGTCAGCTCATAGGAAGTGCTCCCTCGTCAGCCGCCCGCCCGCCAATGCCGCCCACCCAGCAGCCACTGGACCACCAGGGTGATAGAGAACCCCTTCCCTCCCCAGCACTCCCAAAGGTAAGGGGGCTGGAGGGGGGAGGAGGTTTAAAAAGTACATGTGTTAATGTGAGTGTGTGTGTGTGTCTGTTAGTGAGTGTGTGTGTGTGTCTGTTAGTGAGTGTGTGTTATTGTGTGTCTGTTAGTGAGTGTGTGTCTGTTAGTAAGTGTGTGTTAGTGAGTGTGTCTGTTAGTGTGTGTGTCTGTTAGTGAGTGTCTGTTAGTGAGTGTGTGTTAGTGAGTGTGTGTTAGTGAGTGTGTCTGTTAGTGAGTGTGTGTTATTGTGTGTCTGTTAGTGAGTGTGTGTGTCTGTTAGTGAGTGTGTGTGTCTGTTAGTGAGTGTGTCTGTTAGTGTTTGTTTGTGTGTCTGTTAGTCAGTGTGTGTGTGTGTGTGTCTGTTAGTGAGTGTGTCTGTTAGTGTGTGTGTTTGTGTGTCTGTTAGTGAGTGTGTGTTATTGTGTGTGTCTGTTAGTGAGTGTCTGTTAGTGAGTGTGTGTTAGTGTGTGTCTGTTAGTGTGTTTGTGTGTCTGTTAGTGTGTGTGTCTGTTAGTGTGTGTGTGTGTGTCTGTGAGTGTGTGTGTCTGTGCTAGTGAGTCTCTGCTAGTGTGTGTGTGTGTGTGTGTGTGTGTATTTAGAAGGCGGGGGAAGGGATGGGAGGGGTCGCGCGCACGGGGAGGGATGGGTGGGGGTCGCGTGCGCAAGGGGGCTTGGGGGGCGCCTGAGTTTTGTCCTGCCTAGGGCAGCACAAAACCAGGATACACCACTGTATGTCTGTGTATATATAAATAAATAAAAATAATGCAAAATATACATGGGTCCATATACATAATTACATAAATAAGTTCATAAATATACACGTAGACTTTAAATATATAAATATGTATATATATTTAAATTCTACATAAATATTTATGTAATATTTTTACATATTTAAAGGGACACTCCAGGCACCCAAACCACTTCTGCCCATTGGAGTGGTCTGGGTGGCAACTCCCACTACCCTTAACCCTGCAAATGTAAATATTGCAGTTTTCATAAACTGCAATATTTACCTTGCAGGATTAACTCCTCCTCTAGTGGCTGTCTATGGGGAGGTCTAATGCGCGTGCGCGGCATTGCCGCACGTGCACATTAGGTCTCCCCCGTCACTGGCCGCGCATGCACAATAGGTCTCCCCCACCGGCGGGGGAGGAGCATGGGCGGACCCTGACCCAGCGCCGAGAGATATCGGCGCTGGATACAGGTGAGTCACTGAAGGGGTTTTAACCCATTTAGCAACTTGGGATGGGGGGTGGGAGGGAGAGGGGACCTGCAGTGCCAGGAAAACAGTTTGTTTTCCTGGCACTGGAGAGTCCCTTTAGGTAATTTTATTGATTGCAATATGGGGGACCTGCCTGACAACCCAGGCCGAAAGTCCAGAGAATTTAATTTACTAGCACTATATTTAACCCTGTAACTTTCCAAGACACCCATTAAACCTGTACATGGGGGTTACTGTTTTACTTGGTAGACTTCGCTGAACACAAATATTAATGTTTCAAAACAGTAAAATATATCAAAGCGATGATATTGTCAGTGAAAGTAAAGTGCATTTTTCACACACAACCGGTACTTTCACTGAGGATGTCATTGTTGTGATATGTTTTACTGTTTTGAAACACTAATATTTGTGTTCAGCGAAGTCTTTCGAGTATAAAAGTACATGGAGGAACAGTAGGAGCACTGCCAGAGCCCTGCAAAATGACCTCCAGCAGACCACAAATGTGCATGTGTCTGCTCAAACAGTCAGAAATAGACTCCATGAGGGTGGTATGAGGGCCCGACGTCCACAGGTGGGGGTTGTGCTTACAGCCCAACACCGTGAAGGACGTTTGGCATTTGCCAGAAAACACCAAAATTGGCAAATTCACCACTGGCGCCCTGTGCTCTTCACAGATGAAAGCAGGCTCACACTAAGCACATGTGACAGGCGTGACAGGCGTGACAGAGTCTGGAGACGCCGTGGAGAACGTTCTGCTGCCTGCAACATCCTCCCACATGACCGGTTTGGCAGTGGGTCAGTAATGGTGTGGGGTGGCATTTCTTTGGGGGGCCGTACAGCCCTCCATGTGCTCGTCAGAGGTAGCCTAACTGCCATTAGGTACCGAGATGAGATCCTCAGACCCTTTGTGAGACCATATGCTGGTGCGGTTGGCCCTGGGTTCCTCCTAATGTAAGACAATGCTACACCTCATGTGGCTGGAGTGTGTCAGCAGTTCCTGCAAGATGAAGGCATTGATGCTATGGACTGGCCCACCCATTCCCCAGACCTGAATCCAATTGAGCACATCTGGGACATCATGTCTCGCTCCATCCACCAACGTCACGTTGCACCAGTTGGCAGATGCTTTAGTCCAGGTCTGGGAGGAGATCCCTCAGGAGACCATCCGCCACCTCATCAGGAGCATGCACGGGCATTATAGGCACGTGGAGGCCACACACACTACTGAGCCTCATTTTGACTTGTTTTAAGGACATTACATCAAAGTTGGATCAGCCTGTAATGTGTTTTTCCACTTTAATTTTGAGTGTGACTCCAAATCCAGACCTCCATGGGTTAAAAATTTGATTTGCATTTTTTAATTTTTGTGTGATTTTGTTGTCAGCACATTCAACTATGTAAAGAACAAAGTATTTAAGAAGAATATTTAATTCATTCAGATCTAGGATGTGTTATTTTTGTGTTCCCTTTATTTTTTTGAACAGTGCATAAGGCCATTTTTTCGCATTGAAATTTGCCAGATTGGTTATGTTGCCTTTGAGAGCTTATGGTAGCCCAGGAATGAGAATTACCCCCATGATGGCATACCATTTGCAAAAGAAGACAACCCAAGGTATTGCAAATGGGGTATGTTCAGTATTTTTTAGTAGCCACTTAGTCACAAACACTGGCCAAAGTTAGCATTCATAATTGTTTTTTGCATTTTTAACACCCAAACAAATATAAATGCTAACTTTGGCCAGTGTTTCTGACTAAGTGGCTACTAAAAAAGACTGGACATACCCCATATTGAATACCCTAGTCTACTTTTAAAAACACCATAACCACCGTAGACCCCACGAACCGCCGCAGCTTGGTTGGTGTCTCGCCTTCCTCCACCCATCCTGGACCCAAGACCAGGATCCAGGTTCCAGTGGGCAGACCTGTCCTAGTCCAGAGAGTGTAGCAGGAACAGCTCCTATAAGAGCTAGTTATTATACTCAGGAGAGTATTGTGATATAGCAATCCCCAGAGTGAATGTAGTTCTCCAATCCCCTAAACATGAGCCAAGACTTCATGAAGGGGTAAACGAATTTCAATTTAATGGGAGCCACACTTGGCCTTTTATGACAATCCCCATGCAAGGGGTATGCCCACATGGACCTTGTTGGGGACTTCAACACAAAGACACAGGCCAATAAGAACAGTGATTAAATGCCCGACACTCCCATAACAAACACACAATCCCTCCTCCCTGCTTGGGAGATAATCAGTAACTGTACTAATTCTAATCCAATTATTTCCAAGCACAGAAAAATATATACTTTTTTAAAACACCCCAAAAGTACCCTAAAGATATATAAAACCCCACAAATGTTACATCCCCTGATAGCCCTGATCGGGGTGACCAACATATCCAAAAATCACCCAAATCAGTTCAGGGTTTCTGAAATTTTATGGAAGTCATAATTTTTACTGACCGCAGGCATGGTCCCATAGCCGAAAATAGTTCCATAGAATCACGGCTAAGTGCCGCTGGAGGACCGACCAGGAACCGTGAGGTTTTCAGGCCGAAAACAGTTCCAGGGCATTCGTGGCTAAGTCTATTCGAGGTTTCGTCCATGCGAACAAGATGGCCGCCACTACGTGGTCTTCCATAGGAATTGCGGCCACCCACACGAACACTTAATAATATCTTTATAAACCACAGTGCCACAGTGAATGAGGTGAATGGAACTCGTTGCATAAGAACAAGTCATTTATGACATCAGCACTTTGGCATTCTGACATCACATGAGGCAAATGAGATATCATTACCTTGGTGTTTCAAACATTTGACATTTAGAGGGATCCTCTGGGCTCCACCAGTCCGGCCGGGCCTTCCAGTCAGCTATTGTTAATGGGAAAGTTCCTATTTCTGCATTAGTGAAATGAATGTTGCACATGTTAGTATGGAATCCATTGCCTTAGAATAAACAATGATGCTATAAGCCAGGGAATTCTGTTCAAACAAAGACTCAACTAATATATCTATTACAGAAGGGGAACTCCCACTTTAGGTATATAAGAGAACAGTGTCAGACTAGAGGTCCTTTGGAATCCAGGTAAGTGTCAAAGAACCAAGAAATGGAAAAGTAAAAAAGTAAAGGAATTAATAGTTAGTGCTTGTTTTGTTAGTTTTGTTTTGGGTTCAAGACTCATGTGTTTGTGGAACGCAGATGGCCCTGATGATCACAACACTAACAGAGAGGTGTAGATATGTCATGACATTTCTCTGGCTTTTCATTTTATATTCCGTATCATAGTTTGAAACAAGCACAGGCTGCACGGCCAGGTATTCAATGCAATTGCCACACTACCTAAATGATAGAAGCATGTGCAGCAAACTTCTGTTTCCCAACCACCCCCTCCTAGGGAGCCTGACGGAACACTATACTACTGATCTGGTTTTTGTTTTTAAGCAGGCGACTGCTTTGAGAATTAGGTGCCTGAGGTAAATTAATAATAAAAAAAATACACTAATATCCTGTAGAGACTTGGGCCTGAAGAACCCCACATCCAGGGGTTCAGATCTCAAAGCACCCCCCTGTGGTGGTTATTAGGTTTTGCTTTGGGCTCAAGCCCCAGGTGTTTCTGGAACATAGCAACGCTCCAGGTCTGGATGCATTCTGCAGTATTTAATATGTATGTAGTATTCAAATGCAAGAATTTGAATAAGTGGATCACTCCCATGCAATGCATAGCAGGACTTAGCTCAAGAGTGCTAATGGAAGTTTCTGGTGAGGATCATAACATTTCCCAACATATATTGATAATTGGGAGCAAGCAGAAGAACCCCACCCATGGAATACTGTCAGGATCGTATACCCTAACACACAAACCCGAGACAGAAAAGAAGATAGGATAGCGCCTATTACTGGTCTTTAGGGATTAGGTTTTCACACTATAATGGAAGGTAGGAAAATAATGTCTGAAAAGCAATACCTTAGTCAGACTAGCCAAGGTCAGGTGTACAGAGAGGCAACAATGCAAGTATACAGAGGCAAGATGGGAATAATGGATATCAGAGTATTCAGGATAAGACAAAACTCAACACTAGGAACACAAACTCATAATATCCATGTTGGAAATAACAATTTACCTGACTATTGTGTCCTAAAGTGTGCAATTATCTTCTCAGATATTGATAATTGCCGGTTTATTGAATAAGCAAGCCCTTTAGCCTCATAGCACAAGTCTGATCTAAGACTAAAGTAGACACAATAAACTGGAACCAGTGAGGTAAAACCAAACAGAAAGCAGAATATCACTAAGGAGCACACTGACAAACTAAACTTCTAGAGGCACAAAAGATCACCTGATTTCATGTCCATATACAATATAGAGTGAATATAATTCATTATTTTGGCATCACTAGAAGGTGCAAAAGAAACTGTGTGGTGTAATCTATGATGTTGCAGATTGAGTGACAGCTCGCATAGCTGTCAACATTCCAGGGACGCTTTGTGGTAAGTAACATACACAGATGTACACAGACACACACACAGATATACAGTGTTTTAATATATGTGTATCACACTAGTATATGCTATTATCAGTGTGCTACTAGACTAATATTGTGCTCCCATTGGCTATTTTTCCCCTCTGTTTCAATAGAAGGGAGTTTTAGCCTTATTCATATAGGAGCAGACAGTTTTGAAAGACTAATTAGGACTGTTTTCGCTGATTCATAGTGTTCTAAATCAGGGAGGACTGTAACTATTTTTGAAGTTTCTTTTTATGTTGATACAATCTAGTGCTATTTGGGTTGTGTATATTGTATATCACACAATCTCGATTATTTACATTATTGATTCATTGTATAATATTGTCTACCTCTGCACATTTCAAAATATTGAGGTTTAAGTAATTTAAAATTGAAAGTGGCAGTGACTATCTCCTGGTTGCAGCAATCTGATTTTTTTCAATTTGATTTTTTCAATTAGATTTTTTCTTTTTGCTATTTTTACACACACAGATATACCCAAAGAGGTACACTCAATATGGGACACTCAAACAAATACACACACACAATGATACACATACACATAAGTAAATAAATAAATATATACATATTTCTAGCCACCTTCCTCTGGTTCCTGGGGCAGCTACACTGGCTGCACCACCAGTAGTTGTCTTGGGACTCATATTTGCTGATACATGAGCCCAAAATATAGTAATGTCCTGGCAAATTTGGGATAGTTGAAAACTATGCAGCCGAATGATTACATATAGAATTGATATAAATCTGGGCCAGTTTGCAACTTCTACCATCGGAGTTTATGCTGGACTAATATGCCAAGTATGCAGCACCATAGAAACATACTGGAGGCTTGCCATTGGATACCCTGATAACAGTTAGTTTAAAAATTAGTAAGACAATTAAACATTTACATCTCCCAGTAAATGGGGCAAATATTAGTATATTATTACTGTAACCTACACACATTGTATATCTACTTGCATTCTAGAATTGAAGATTATACTAGCGTAGTGTACTAATAATCTTAATTTTCTTGTCTAATATATTTATTAATGTTTTGTGTAATATAGAATAACAGTTAACATAATAATGACATATATGTACACTAACTTATGAATCGTTGTCGAATAAAACACGTAAAAAATAAAATATACATACAAATTATAATTTCCTTTATATTTGAGACAAGTAAAATATGTACAGAAGTAAGAATAAATTAGTTATATCCTGGTACTAAACAAAAAAAACAGTAAGCAGAACAAGTATTCAGTCAGGTGGGAACATGGTTAAAGTCTTTTTTCTTTTTTCACATCATCTTCCCACAAGGACCATTCATGCTGCAGAATAGACGTGAATGTAGATGTTTCACTGAAAGCTAGTCCCAACATTTTACTTTCAAATACTGCAGATAAAACTTCACCGACAGTTGGAATAGTGGGTGATTTCCAGTGTGGGGAGATGATAGAATTTGCTGAGATCAAAAGATGGCCTATCATAATTTGTTTATACCTAGGCATGTTAGATGGAATTTGCTGAAAGAGACAAAGACACAGGAATACAACTACATTGAATTCTAAATTTTTTATTAATTAATTTAAGTATGTTCAGCCAATAAGATTTGATTTTAAGACACGAACATTGTACCTTGTTTTCACTAAGGTTTAATTTAAAAAGTTTGGAAGGGGTTAGGTACCATCTATAAATTAATTTGTAGTGGGATTCCAAATGATTTGTGCATTGAGTGATACCTTTTAATGATGATAAGAAATTATTCCCCATCTCATCATGTAATTCAATTTATCATACATGTCACCGGCAAAAATATTACAACACATGGAGATGCTTTGTTTCCGGGTCCATTAAATATTTTTGTTTCTAGTTTAGATATATCTAATTTCCACAAGTTCGGATTCCTGATCGGAAAGAGCAAAATGTCCACTAATTGTTGTCATAAGTCTCTCATGTTTTTGGGCATCAGTTAAACTCAATTTATATTTTTCTTTTAGTTGATCGAAAGGCAGAAGGCTATTGGAAGAAAATAATTCATCAATATGGACAATCGAATGGGAGGCCCAGTAATCTACATCCAAATCAAGTAAAGCATAACGTACTGCTGATAATGGTGTAGCCCTAGACCATATGGCGGAATCTGTTGGCGCTTTATAAATACCAGTAATATATAATAAATAATAGCATGTGGTTGAATTTTCTTAAGTAAAAGTTTTCACATCTTAAGGGTTAACTTAGTGGAGGGAAATAAGTCTGTCGCATTAGGAAGTTCAGATGAAGGCAACCATAATAAATCTTTAATAGAGTGAGGT